AAAACTGATCCTGTAACATTAGGACCATTGTATTTTTTTTCYTCRACCCAGGSACGTTTTGGTGGTTCTGCAGTACCGAAAAAGCGAAGGCGTGTTTTTTTAATTACATYTTGTATCTCCTGCACGGCTGAGATGGAGGCACTGCTAACAGCATTTTTTTTTTTTGCATAGGCTGTGAATAAACCCCTATTTGGGTAATAATGAGTTATGGCAACGTTTTTTTGTTTATCATAAGACATATGCATAAGACCAGTTCTATTACCATCACCAAAKGTAATAAAACAGTGAATTGGATCGCTTGGTCTGGGATCTATCGTGWCGACTTGGATTCTTAAAGATTTTTTTGGGTATCCTTGAGGAGAATTGGACGTCATCTTCAATGTATGCACAGGATCTTGATTTTTTTTAGCACAACTAAACATATTTTTACCGTTCTGGTTCTCGAGGGTTACAGTTATGGTTTTTTTTCCAGATTTTGAGTATGAATGATTGGCATGTGCGCCGGCGTCGTTAAACTCTCCTTCCTTATATTCATTTGCTTTGGCCCCGTCGCCAAACGACCATAAAACTTTGACATTAGTATTTTTTTCGGTATCCGCTACCATATACACTGTCTCGTTGGTGAGAACATATAATCGCGAACTTTTTTTATCCATATGCACCGTTGGTGCTTTCTTTCTGTTCAATGTCACTTTTGGATGTCGTACTGGTACCTCTACATGGACTGGTACAGTTGTCGAGTTACAACCGATACAATTGCAAAAGTTTTTTTTTGCAATRTAATCACCTTCTTTGGTATAGTTATGCGAAAACGATCCATTRTAAATTTTTTTGCCTTCGGCACTAGAAGTTCCATTCTTGACTTCACAATGTCCATCCCCAAAACATTTTTTTGWYTGAATGGATGAGCCTCCCTCAACTGTGTATCGAATATTTGCGAGTTGAGGATTTTTTTAGTCTTCCACAGGGTAGATCTTAACGCCTTCAATARGGTCTTGAATAAGAACACTTTTTTTAGAGATCAAAGCAGTACTGACATTGTTGTAYGCTATAACTGATGCGTTGTACAGTTTTTTTCGATGATAGACATGTYCAAACCACGTTAATTCGGTTGTTTTTTTAACGTCTTCCTTTTTTTAGGAATACTGGACAKCACAACCCTGGGAAATAGTTGATGTGAAGTTGACTGTGCTTTTTTTTGCTGTGCATTTAGGTGATGACATCGTTAGGTTGGCAATTTTTGATTGGACAGTTTTTTTTCCCACKAKGGACTTGCAGTTGATTAGATTACAGGCTGTGATATTAACTTGGTAAACATCTTTAGTTGTGTAGGTCTTGTTTAAACAYGCAACAAGYGTTGCRCCGGATACTTTAGTTTTTTTCAAGTACTTCAGCCCCGAGCCATCTCCAGGATCAATCGTGATGTTAACATGAGAACCGTTTCGCAATAAAAAACAGATTTTAGTCATTTCATTCTCTGCGACCGTATCCAGTGCCTTTTTTTCAAATTCCAGGTTATCTATTTCATCCTGGCAAAGAATTTCACAAACAGCGTAACTTTTTTTCATACAGTTGCTCCCAAGTAATGTCAAAGAATTCATTCCTGCTTTAGGACAGCTTTTTTTTATCCATGGGYTGTGTGTGGTTACATTAGTATCGTTGAACATCCACTGGTACGTCGCGTTTGATGTCAAGTGTGGCAAAAGTGAAACATTTGACAACTTGTTTGTAGGATGGGCTGCCGGAGTGGAACTGAATGTCAGGTTCTGCAAGATGTGTTGAGAATGAACTACAATTGTGGATTTTTTTCCGGTCTTGGAAGATGTTAATGAAATTGATTTTCCACCGTCTGTGGAGAATTTATTTTTTTCAACTGTTCTGCCTTTTGGAAGGACGTGTAGCTTGACGTTGGGAACTTCGCTATTTTTTTTAAAAAAAACACAATCGGATAGGTATCAGTTTTAGTTTGTCTCGTTTGATAAGATTTTTTTTTAACTCAACTTCAAAAATATATGTACTCATAAACTCAGAAAGACTATAATATTCTTTTTTTTTCACATACTTTCTTAAACCGGTAAAGCTGTCATATGCTGGATTAAAGATCCTTAATTTTTTTTCTACATATACAATACTTATGATTCTAGTCGTCATTTTACCCTATACCAACAGTTTTTTTTCTAATGTTAATAGATAAGCCAATCAAATGCGAGTTTATAGACTTACCGCTGGTCTTTTTTTGAGTGCAGGTGACTGATAACCAGGGTAAATGTTGCCCGTTTGGTTCACTGCTTTAACTTTGGCACTCGAGAAAAAGAGTCCACAGTTATTGCACTTGGTAAACGACAGCGTAGCCTTTTTTTTTTCAGGTATGTGCACGCCAAAGAAATTACAAGAAGAGGTCTCAACGGATGTGTTTTTTTTAATCAATCTCCGATGACCAGCATTGGCCCAGATGATAAGATTGAATTTCGGTTTTTTTTTTATATTACTGGTTGTCTGGGCTGGCAAAATATATTCGCAGCTACTGTTTGAACAGTACCCGGTCGTCATGTCAAGTGTCTTGCTTGAAGGGCATGTTGTTCCCGTTACTTGGCATGCTGTAGTTTTGGCGACACAAGCTCTTTGTGAAGGACAGTAACGGCTCGAATTATCGCAGACAACTTGTAAACACTAAGATAAACAAGTTAMAWTTGAAAGACATATRAACAAAACATATCAATTTTTTTCAGTTTCATTAAGAAAATGGAAAAAGCAACGGTGTCAGCTACGGTTGAACAGCATTTTTTTATCCAGGGGGTGCGCACCCCTTCCTGAGATCTGTATCCTTCAATACTTTCCTTATTTTTTTGCATCTTCATGGTAATGATTTTTGTGGGGTGCACCCCCCTCCTGAGAGACCCGCTTTTTTTCCTGAGGAAAATCCTGGATCCGCCTCTGAACAGCTCATTAGGTTTTAGACTGGTTTTTTTTACTAGATAAGCTTCAAAGGCTCAAWTTCAGATAGTTTATTTGCCTTGTTCACCCTTTTTTTTTTTGTCTTCCATTTCTGTGAGGACTAAGAACTTTGCAAAAAGCCTACGAAAATTTTTTTTCCGTTTGCAGGATGATGTCTATCTTTGAAATATGCACTATTCATACCTTCACTTTTTTTTTACCTTGTTTGATGATATCAATATCTAAAGCCACAAGTTTTCCATCCATATCTACTTTTTTTGGTAGGATATGCAAGCCACTCACTGCGTTAGATGAGCTTCGTTTGGTACATGGTTTTTTTTTAGTAGCAAGCGCAGATCCTAGAGAGAAACAAAATAAATTGTAGTTGATAACAATTTTTTTCAAAAACACTCAAAAGGTAGTACAATGACAGATTTAACAATTAAAGAGAAGCAATTTTTTTCACATCAGCTTCTTGCATGCAAGCACACTATATGGCTACACTGTTGTCATTGAATTTTTTTCATGATGCTCATCTTATCGACAACAATGGTGGAATAATACTTTTTTTAATACCTTTTTTTTGTAACGTTGTCGCCGTGCCATCACTGTTAAGCATCACCGTGTCATCCTGACTTTTTTTTTTTGTGATGTTACAATCGATATCTTGATTAACAGCAGCACATGGAGGGCAAGATATAGACAAATTCTTTGTCGTTACAAGCGACATGARAGAATTTGAACATGGTAACATAACGTATTTTTTTTTCTCATTGCTCATGAATTTCACTTGTGGWCTGATGGTTGTGTTCTTTGTGTTAATTTTTTTGAAAGCAAACCTCTCTTTGTAGTTAGTAACAATCTCACCATCTCCTGCATCGAYTTTTTTTGCTTTAGCATCATAAAAAGGCTTATTGGCCGTGATCTGAATCTCTATTCTATTATTTTTTTCTACCGTTGAAGAATAATTGCACACTATACTGGGCTTTGACGAGGCAGAGTCKATTTTTTTTACCTTGTTGCCAGTACCACCACATTTCAATTGTCCTGCACCAGTACATGGCACTTTTTTTAGCTCATTCGCGACGMTTGTCATGGAACTTGTATTGTTGACGCATGTACACATGGCGCCATCGGTAATAACTGCCTTGTGCGAGTATGCATTGCTACATTGCTCCCGGCACTGGTTTTTTTTCATTGTTGTGGGGTCGAGTGCGGGAAAGTAAAAGTTTGTGTGATCTAAGGGACTTTGTTGATTACAGGAACTTGTGAAACCGCTAAGAACTGTAAAACAAACAAATGGACTATCATTTTTTTTTGTCCTTCAKACTACTGTGTTGTTTTGCTGATGGCAGAATATGGTAAATTGAGTTTTTTTAGATAGAGTTATGTACAAAAGCGATTTCATTCGAAAAATACAGCCTATGCCATAAATCTAAGCTGAACTTCGAAACGTCTTATTTATGAGAATGCTATCAGATACTGAGATTATCTTTTTTTAATAGTCAATGAAAACCCTAAGTTATTAAAACTGCCATTTGCAGATCACTCCACTTTTTTTCCTATCGTGATGTATSTATATGTTTTTGCAGAGGTTCTTACCATTTCCCTTCAATTTTTTTTTCATCCATTCTGCAGATCGGTATTTGTAGRAYACGGCAATGCTGTCAATTTTCCCTTGAAAATACTTGGTATTCAATTTACTCGGCTTCCCAACAAACAATKTCGTCGACTCATTTTTTTTCGGCCAATCCAAGCCTACTGCATCTTCGTAAACAGAAAAATCTGAATACCCTACCACGACAGCAAGACCTTTTTCTTTACTCCAGGTGAAGGCGAGCATCTGTTGGCCTGACTGAGACACGGTTTCGTCGACGTACCAATACCGTATGCCATCTCTTATCTCAACTTTAATTTTTCCGTTTGTGTTGGTATGAGAAATTGCAAATCCTSGGCCATTTTCGCCATTTGATGACAWAATTTTTTTTTCTCCAGAGCCGGCTCGTGTGAATCGTAGTRATACTGAAACAGAAAGAAATTTATTTTTTTAGTCGTCCAYTCGAACTCGTGGTCTTATTTTTAGCGGTCAGAATTTTCACACGATTTTTTTATMWTGTGACGATACTTACCAGTTAATCCATCTTCACAAAGGTCTGGGTTGCTGATGCATTCACCTTTGAAATCTCCGAGCTCAATCCAGTTTGTCCCATCAAACTTGRCGGCAATTTTTTTGAATCCACTCAAATTYCCTGTTGTAGTTTCCACTTTCATAGGTCCATGCGATGTTCCTTTTTTGAAATTTATCAAATCATTCAGCATTATCTTGTCCATGGGCCAAAAGTGGTTTGCATCTCTAAATCGATAATCTGAAAATCAAGAGTCTAGAATGAATGGAAGATTTCAATCAATTTTTTTGTTAATGAAATCTCAACAAACGGCTAGACGAATTTGGAAAGAGAGAGACTCTTGTTTTTTTGAGACGCTGATTATCTGTGCTTATTACGGATTCCTGCACCTCTGTATACAAAAGTTTTTTTGTACTTACAGGGGTGACTCTTGACAAGCAACTTCGTACGAGGTGTACCTTACGGTTTTTTTATACAATATAATTCTATAAACACCTCAACTCTGTACCTCTCAGAGGTTTTACATTTTTTTTTTACCTCAATATCATCCTTTAGGGGTGTCCGAAATACATAGAGGGTTTACAAAATTTTTTTCCTGGTCGATCACACACTTCAAACTCTCCATTTGTTTGCGTCTTGAGAAATAAGTACTTGGCAGTCAGAGGTGATTCGTCGCGGTAATATAAGATTATCCTTTCGCCTATCCCAATTTTTTTGCGTTGGGGAGTCCAGTCCATCCAAACATGTGTCAGACTAGTTGAACCTACGTATCGTGGTTTCTTGACCGATTGTGCGACAGTTGTTGGAGACGAGCCATCTTGAGAGCGTTTTTTTTTTTTTTTATTGTCGCTTGCTTGATCGAAGACTATTTCATAGCGGGGCCCAGTTGCACTTTTTTTGGTAGCGAGGATTATGACGGCATCTTGGCCTTTGACTCGGAGGGACATTGATTTTTTTTTTAAGGGATAAGCGTTAGACGTTCCAGCTGAACTTAGAGTTGCATGATCACATATGTTTTTTTAAATGATGAACACAATGAGAAAAAACTTGAATAATCAAAACAATACCAATGAATTTTTTTTAAGGAGCTCAGAAAAAAAATGATTGACTGAAAAAAATAAGTTTTGTCGTAGGTATTTTTTTCATACTCATCATACAATAGCTGTATCGATTTGAAGCCCACTGGATTGGTCGATGTTTTTTTGGTAGTAACAGTAAATTTGACCCATGWAGCTACTCGTGCAGAGAAGTGAAACTCTTCAAAGCTGTTTTTGTTGTTAGTAAGTGCAACCTTAAAAAAAGCATTTCAAAATGTTACTTTTTTTTTACGATGGACRAAATTTAACAGAAAAGATTGAAGAAGAAATTATTCCTGCGTGTATTTATTCATCTATCCATTCATTTCTCTCCCATCTATCTAGTCATCCTTCCATCTATTTACTATTTACTTACGTGAACCGTGCTGCAGTCACTAAAATCCAGACGGACGTCTTTAATTTGTGCAGTAGACAACGATCTCTGATAGATATTGACTTTGTTGATTTTTACAGCTGGAAAGTGTATTTTTTTTGTAGCACCAACTCCCTGAGAAGTGCTCACCCACTCTGTCGACGTCAAACCGTCTAAAATCTTGACGCAATCGGCGGCGTTACCTGACGCTTTTGAACAGGTTGCTCCATTTGATGTTTTTTTAACGTCAAAAAAAGGCGAACGAAGCGATTCTAGAATAAAATGACATTGATTAGGGGGTTATAGATCGACTTATCACGGAATTCTTGACATTCAATTATTAATATTCTTTCTACGATTTTCTCTTTTGAATATTTTCTATTCTTTTTTTCTATAAGTTTAGCAATCATTCTTTAACAGTCTTGAGACTCCCAATTTATTTATAACTCCCTTCAATTCTAGATTAATTTGCTGTCACTTTTTTTTTACAATATTTTTATTTGATTACTTCTTCCAACTATAAGGGTCCATTTTTTTGTCATTTTTTTGCAGCATGTGGTCTGCTCAGATATCACGAACAAAAAAYACAACTGCGCATGACGTTTTTTTTGTTGAAAACAAAAATGTTCCCAGACTGTTTTGGTTTAAATTCACAAAGTGTTGATGCTGACCGCCACATGAATCCGCCAGAATACAAGTACTCAGTATCAACACACAAACATGTTTTTTTTATGACAGGGGCCTTATCTCCAGTCCCTATCGTCACGTATGAAATACAGGAAGCCCGACAATAATTTTATCTGATGGCGACCGTGTGCGCATTTGATTTCGACAAAACAGCCGAGATTTTTTTTCAAACCCTTTTCAGGTGAATTAGAATGTGGTACTCACCATTTGGGATATAACCAAAAGGTAGACTGATCGTCAACGAAACAAATGTCGGCCCGTTACTCTTTGTATTCTTAGCCTGTTTGACTTTGCAGTTTTTACTTCCCTTACACAGGACGGCGGCAAATGATTCTTGATCGCCAATGGCTGTATCGTTAACTCCAATATTTGTAAGCACATCATTAGCACCAGCAAGGTTGCTGTTTGCGTTACCTGACGTCTGGACTGCCATGACTACTATGACGTCATTTGGTAATGCATTATTTTTTTACTTAAGTGAGTCGCCATTGGCTGAACTGGCTTTGACGTCGAAAACACCAGCCGTCATAAATATACCTTATGAAAGAAATCGTAATGGTCTGTACGTGTGGTAAACGGAGATATTTTTTTTTACGCAATTTTGAAGAATAAAAGTCCCTTTCGATTAAACGTTTACCCCGGGGGCGTTTTTTTTACTCCCTTATATTCGCTATACGGGGACGTGCCGCCAATCAGGGTATCGTTTTCTTTTTTTTCACTCTGGAACAGGCTATCGTTTTTAGCGATTTTACTCTGAAACAGGGTATCGTTTTTTTCGAATTTTCTCTGGAACAGGGTCAGGGTTGAATTCCGGAATTATTGATGCTGGTTTTTTTTTCATGGGGTAAAAATTCGGTCTACACGCAGGCTAGTACATTTTACTCTGGAACATTTTTTTGTTTTCAGCGATTTCACTCTGGAACAGGGTATCGTTTTCAGCGATTTCACTCTGTTTTTTTGTCAGGGTTTTGAGGTCCCAGCGGCACACCCCCACCCAAGTTTACTTACCAGTTTTTTTTTCGAATACTGCCACATTGATACCTTGAGACTTGCTGCTGTAGTCGATCCCATTCATTTTTTTGAATGATGACCCTTTCGCCACGGTCAGGTTCGAATCACTCTCTCCCTCCGAGCGTTTTTTTATGTCCAGTTTACATGCTAAACCTGTAACAGTAGAGTGCAAACATTACTAAATATTTTTTTGATGAGACAATTAGTACTATTTTGTAAGCACTATCAGGCATTATAATTCAACAATTTTTTTTCCTCCGCTCTCATTGGTCGAAAGTCGACCACGTGACGGATAGTGCCCGCCGCGGAAGCGTACTATCAGTGCAGAAAGCCCGCCGCTTCAGAAAAAKWTKAATAATAAAAACAATTTTTTTTTTAAAATCTTGGTGTTTTGCTGTCATAGTTGCCCTTGGAAACTGGAAGTTCCTCTTTTTTTTTTCAAAACATACAGTTTCCGTGGGCAATTATCACAGCATTTGAAGTGGATTACTTTTTTTCGCAATACAACATAAACGATAACGTTCTCAGAGCTGGTCATTATCAGGCACTTATTTTTTTTCTTTGTCTGCGTGGCTAGCGGAGCTTAATCCGGCGAAAATGGTGGAAATTTTGTTTTTTTTCCGGAATCCGGGAACAATCCGGATATCGTGCCATGAAGCAAAATAGCTAGCTGTTTTTTTAAACATTCAGTCAAACAGTAATAGGCAAATACTGGTCTCCCTCCCGGGCGTCCGCCATTTTGAAAATAGCGAGAAGGGAGACCCTGGGTACGAGGTTAGATGTCGTTGTCACCTGTTTTTTTTATTTTTAGAAACATGCATTTAGAAAACGGCGTCTCGGATAAATTGATAAGCATTTTTTTTTCATTTCAAATACAAAAACATTTAAAACTGGATATAGCAAAAGTTACTTAAAGTTTTTTTTATTGAGATGTCTGGTATTATTTGAAAATGTTGCTACGTAATAATAAATGAGAACTTTTTTTCGGTCAAAAATAAAAATATTCTTTAAATGTTCTAGAACCTTCTATTAGCTCGTCTTTTTTTTATATTGAAAACTCTCAATTCAATTATTTAGCCAGTAAAACAGTCTTTAAATGTCAATGGATGTCATGCTAAAACTGAAGCTTTTAATTTTGGGAGTCCGTCCAATAATACACTGTCATACTATTATGCCTTGACGTATAAATAAGTTGGATCCACGCAGAGAGCTCGCATTGAACTTTTTTTTGTTTACTTTGGGACCAATTATGAAACTTTATAAAACCGGAGAAAGATTTCTAGCTTATTTCTGAACCAGCCACCGTGATCTGGATTTTGTTGTTGTTTTGTTTATAATAATTTCTTTTTTTTCATTACTGAATATGAATATATGAATAAAGAATTAGGCTATAACACAATAATAGTTTTTTTTTTTTAGAAAAAAAACCTCGGGGAAAAACTACTGCTTAAGCCAAGAAAGAGACTTTTTTTTAAAGGTTTATTGAAAGTATGTTTTTTATAGCATATGTCCAATGAATTCCTGACATTTTTTTACCTATGTTCATTAAAGAACCAAAACTTGGCTAATTCAGTTAAAACTCGAGATTTTTTTTTTATTAAAACGAAAAATTCTGGCTAAAAAATTGACTTTTGTCGGAATCGGTTAGTTTTTTTTATAACAGATGTAACAGTACTGGTCGTAGCGAATCTTTTGTGAATTAAACAAAATTTTTTTTGGAATTTTAACTTATCTGGAAGTGTTTTTTAGTTCGGCAGTGCCGTTGCCGAGAAACGCTCCAACGTAATTTTCCATCGGCTCCTAATTTTTATTACACCTGCAAATCTTTATCTTTTTTTTATATTAATATTCAACTAACGTTAATCAGTCGAATAGTCACGAAATTTGCTCTATTTTTTTTAATATCTTCCTTAATTYTGACCACATACTTTTTCTAGTTTTTCAAAGTTGTTTTTCACAACGGACGAATGCATTCTTTTCTTCGCCGCAGTTGGTCATTACAAATGATGGAGGTTTGTGTCGTATTTTCTCGTGAATGTGTTTACATTGACGTTTGTTTGGATATTCTAACTCTTTTGCTTGTCTTTCTCTCTCCATGCTCCCTTTCATAATATAACAATTGTATCATTTATATCGATTTTTTTAGATGAAACTTCCTCAGCGTTACATAGTGAGGGTAGACAGAGAGAAGGCAGAGCTTTTTTTCGTAAGTGAGAAGGCCTTGGAGATTCGCGACATCYCTCGAGAAAAACAGCGCCATTTTTTTTAGCCTGTTTCTTCACCTTCATGAGCAATTATTTTTCACTGTTAGTTAATTTTCTTTTTTTTACCGWTCTTTTCTTGTCTGGGATCCGCTTTTCAATTAATCTATTTTGGAAAAATTCATGACGATCCATTTCAGTTAATATTCAGTCTTGCATGGTGACCCRCTAAGAAGCTAACTTTTTTTGTAATAACAATACATCTGCATTTTCTTGTTCTTTTGTGCGGTGAAATAATCCTCTTTTTTTGGTTCACTTCCGAAGCATCGAGATTTTTTTTCATATTAAATAGCCTGTACACAACTAACGTCTGACTGTCGTAAGAGCAAAGGGCCGGGGGTCTTACAAGAGGAAGTCGACATCCTTTTTTTAACCACGAAAGTATGGCTTTCATAAAGAAGTATTAACGAAAGCTTTATCTTCAGTTAGTAGACATCTTGATAATGCAAGACAGATTTTTTTAACCTGTCAGTTTCGTTTTCATTGTTTTTTTCTCGAAAAAAAAAAGACTAATTATATTATAGTAATGACAATGTGCGGCAAATAATTTTTTTTTTTATAATAATAACAGAGAAAAGTAGTACAGTCTAATTGTCTAGCGTTTCGTATTTTTTTCTGGAAAAGSCTTGAAATGTTGATCATGCAGCTCAAGTACGTTGCGTGTTTACGAGAAACAAAAATAACAGCTAAGTGATATCGAATGTCTAAAATAAAAAAAATGTAATCGGGCACCAAAGTTAATAGTATTCATGCCAAGGGTTTATATAAGATGGAACGTCTCTCAACTCTACTTTTTTTATTAAAAGTTTTTACAAGTTAATATCTTTTTGTTTGCTGTGCATGGAGATTCTATTTTTTTCATGAAGCTACAATACCCTTTTTTACGCGCAGTTTGAAGCCGATGAATTATCAAATGCATTTTACGATTGATTCTTTTTCGTCTCTAAAAGAAAAAACAAACTCGGCTCGATCTAAAAAAGGAGGTTTCAAGCAGTAAAAAGTGAATAATTCATATCGTTGTCAGTTATTAAACTATTTTTTTAGCAATTTGTCCAAATACGTGAAGTTAGGGRGAAAGAAATTATTTTAAGGAATTTTTTTTTTTTCTCGAAATTAGAACATTCGAAACATARTCAAAAATGCGAAAACGTATTCCCTTTTTTTGTATTYGCGCTGCAAAAGCAATATAACATCCCTGATGAGAGTTTCTCTGTTATGTTTTTTTTGCTCTAACTTATTCCGACAAGTTTCAATTAACAGGGAAGCGTTCTAAGTAACATTTTTTTTTTCGTACTAAATTCTCTCTCTTCCTCACTATTTTTAAAGTTGTATTTAGCTTCTTTTTTTCTGTTAGATAGGAGCTTTTATCACAAGACTRCGGRAAGAAGAAAATACTCAAAGTTTTTTTACTTCTTGACGCAACTCAACATCGAAAAACACATCAATTACCTGACCAGTACTGGCACCAAGAACGCTTGCCAGGATGAACAGCGATAAAAATGGAATGTCAAACATTTTGAAAGATCACTTTGCGAAAGTTTCGTCGTTTAAAGGCATTTTGCGGGACGACCAAAATCTCGATATTTTTTTTTAATCCTAAGTCGTCAAAAGTGTTATAGCAACCTTCGTAAGAGGATTCTATTTGTTTTTTTGATGTGGTGTTAATTATTAATCGCAGGAATTGCAGCTGCCGATAGCTCTTTCATGAATATAGTAAGAATAGATTTGCTTCTCGTGTAGCAATATACAATGAAAAGAAAACTATAGTTAATTTTTCAGACTTAAAGAGATGAGAGTTTTAGTCTCAGTAATTTTTTTTCGAAATTTATTTTTTTTTAATATGGACTGGAAGATAATTTAAGGTCTCGTCCCCATTAATAATTAATAATTTTTTTTTATCAAGATATTCCTATATGTTAAAAAAGCCGGGACCATTTAGATGCTCAAAAYTTTTTTTAATATTTTGTTTTGAACGGGTAAAACCTACAAAGCGTTTTATCTAACTGCATGTTTTTTTTGGTGAAATATAGATCATAACACAACAATTGACAGCAAGAGTCATGAGATATTGCTCAATTTTAAAATTCCTTAAAATGGTTTTGTGCGGCTTTTTTTAATAAAAGTACCACTTAATAAGTCATGTTTGTTCATGATCAAAAAAAGATAATTCCCATCGTTGGTTTTACCCAAGAGGTTTTTTTCTATATGTCCAGTTTTATATTATATGTCTTACACAGGTGATCAAATACAAATGCTAATAGATGTTTGTTCGATAGGTAGTCGCACGTTTGGGACATGTCATGGAAAAAAGCGGAATTTTTTTAATTCATATTTTTAAACAATGTTGTAATATTTAAAAGCACTTTACTCTATTTTATGCAAACAGAACAGGTAGCTCTCGAATTTCATTTCCTGTTATATGTGTATATATTATTATTTTTTTTTCCTCTAAATATACTCGTTTTAATTGGATAAGAAGAGCTAGTACCAATTAATGTCTTTTTTTCACCCTGCAACAAGTCTGCACGTTTCTTTTTAACTTTATCTTTGAATATCATGACATTGAAAAATAGCGTTTGCACTTCTTTGGTTATAGATCAATTTTGGAATCTTGATAATTAATTGTATTAACTATTTAAAGTCAAGTTTTCAGTGAGTTTGACAACTGACAGTTAACATGGTTAAATTAAGTGCTTATAACAGCATCCTTCATAATGTATGAGACATATCTTCAACCAATAACTTTTTGTCTGTCCAAATTTCATTATTGTAGCCACCCCACAGTCACTGTTATGTTCGTTTCTTTTTTTTATGTAAATTTGCTTCCTTTATTACCGATTCCATAGTTACTTAGATATGAAACTCTTTTTTTATTAATTTGGATAAATAAAACCCCTAAATTTCAGACTGCCCCATTTAGAAATTCATATCAACTTTTCTCGGGACTTTTCATTAGAGTAATAGTAGAATGTAGAAATTGATTCATCTTTTTTTAGATCTAGTTTTTAGATGAAATTCCCGGGGGGGACTCTCTTCTCTCTGATAAAAGTTGGTAGGTATGCTCTACGGACCTTTTAGGGTCGAAAATAAAACCCTCGCGTACCTTTTAGGGCCCTGAGCCGACTCCGTACCTTTTAGAGTCAATTTTCGAACATCGAAAACAAAAATTAAAGAAGTGTGATAAAGAAGTAGATTTTATTAACCTCAACAACCATTAAACTTTTTTTTCTGTTAAACTTTTCTCTTGTCAAAGTACGTCAATGAAATGGTCGTACCTTTTAGGGTCTGGAATTTTTTTTTGAATTAATTTATGCGTACCGTTTAGGGTCATTTTTCAATACGTCCGTCGAGCATTTTTTTCAACTTTTATAAGAGAGTCCACCCCCCCCCCCCCCCCCCCCCCCCCCCCCCCCCTTTTTTTCCGGGATGGAATTATTCAATTTTTGTCTTGTCACTGACTTAAGGAAACCACCCTTTTTTTTTTGAATTGAAAAATATTTCTAATTTACAAGCAACGCATGCGTTGATTTGTACAGTAGCTTTTATTTCAGATGATTATCTAGATGTGACACTTGGTGTTCCATTCTCTTTATCGAGCCATTGACATTTGCAATCGCCTTCTTTGATGTCGTCATTTCTGACTTCACTGTGAGTGAGCCCGCACACCATGTTTGGCGATACGCAGTCACGACTTCCGGTGCAACCAATGAATACGCAACCACAGCCATTTCCAGCTTGGTCGATTTTATGGTAGTGGTCACAGTTCCTCCATTCACCAAAAAGCTTGATCCTGTCAAACCTCTTGGGATAAACAGTTCCTTGAAAGCAAAAAAAAGAAACTTTTTTTTAATGAAAACTACGTAACTGTACGTCATTCCGATCTTAGTCTAATTTCATTTTTTTTGTTTTGTTGCCGGGTTTTTTTATGTTTATTAGGTCTTATTATCCAAGCAAGCTAGGTTGATATATGACCGTTTTCATTAGCAAAGAAAATCCGATTTTGAAAGAAAACACTGAACTTAAAAAACTTACGGTTTGTCTATTGAACTAAATTCTTAAGTTGGTCATCTGAAATTTCGTCTTCATATTAAAATCCGTCTTTTTCACAGATTTTTGCCACCAGTAATATTATAAAGCCAATTTTCGTTTTTTTTGTTTATGGTTTTGCTAAAATATTTCGTTTAAGGTGAAAAAAAAAAACAATTCGCAAAAATTAAAAAAAAATGGCGAGTCACGAAGCAAAATCAACATCAACCAATCAGATCACTTTTTTTTTCGCGTCCAGGGTCCAGTATATTATATGTTAAAAAGCGTTGAATGTGATAAGAGTCTATTTAACATTCATTATTTTGTATAAAGGGATACTTGGACGAAAATTGCGAAACATTAGTTTTTTTTTGGAACTGAAATAGACCTATCCATATGGGTCTAATAATCATGAAGCAACAGATTTCAAGAAGATATTGACACAAATCCTTAATAATTTGCGCAAAAAATGTTGGACTAGATGACTTTTTTTACTCCATCCTTTTGTTCTTACATCTTTTGAGTCATATATTTGTATTGCTTGAAGTTTTTTTATAAGGCCATTTTCATGCACTATAAAACTGACTTCTGGGTACTGTAGTACCTCTAAATCTCCGCTTGTTTGCTTTGGCTACATCTTTGCCGTCAATAACCACAAAGGAAAGAACGACCAACAATGCAATGACGAGGAAATACTTCATTCTTGCGATGACCTTGCGGCTATAAAACATCATAGCATGTCAATATCTAACTATAACACAATGACTGTTACCCGGAGGTTCTTATGTATCAGTTACATGGAAGGCTGAGTTGCTGTCATCTTTGACAAAGATTGCGATCTTAAATCAAGTATATTCTACCGTAATGACGATACGCGAGTCAAATTTTAGGATAAATGATGGACAGGGGAGAATTTTTTTTTAAAAAAGGAGGTAAAAGAAAAATGAATTGGAGAAGAAGCCATCTACACAGAAGGAATGTGATCCTGATATGGAAAGACAACTGAGAAAAAGCGTGAAAAAAGAGAAAGGAAACAAAATTTGAGGAACTATAGAAGAAGACGTCGAAGAACGAAATGTTAGAAATATGTGAAACTAGAAAATGAAGCAGAAAAACTGAAAGAAATGCAGAACCGGTGAAAATAGACTTAGACTAAGCGATGCTATGAAGCTCGATATCGAATCCACAAATGAAGGAGAAAAGGGAAAAAAAGATACATTTTTTTAATTTGAAAGAACGACCTGCAAACTTTACGAAGAAAGAAAGTTTTAGGAATTTTTTTTTTTATCTAAAACGAGAAAAGACAAAAATCAACAACTCCAGGCGGTAGAAAGAAACGAAAGGAAACCAAAACGAAAATCAAAAAATAAAATCCTCGAAAAGGATTGAAAATAAATAAGAGTTAAAGGAGATCAAGAAGAAGAGGGCCGTAAGGACATGCTACATCTCAATAGTTTTACAGACATGTTTGCACACTGTCTTACCTTAAACTGTAGTAGGAGAATGTTAGCTCTTCGATGCAATTTTTTTAATTCGGATGAATTTGGAGATAACTCCCTCTGTATTTATTCGCTCTGACATCAAAGAGCGTCAGGTACCAGTAACAATGCGACCTTTTTTTTATTTGTTGTTGTTTTGTCTCATTGGTACCTTGCAGAAAACGTGTAATATTTGAACTATAACCTGACTTTATCAAGATACCAGCATTTTTTTACACCGATAACTCTTAAAGGATTTTTTATTTTTTTTCTGGTTGATCGACGAGATCCTCCAAAACAATTTTGGTCTCTGACTACAATAAAAACTTAGCCCTTTTTCACTGAACATGTTTAATGTTTTTGAACAAGCTGCGAAAACTTCCAGTTATAGTATTATTTTGTTTAAGCAGGTTTTTTTTAAGCTAGCTTAAGAGCGCTTAAGTATCTTCTTGAGAACGCCAACATGGCCATGTTACGTAATAGTTTATGAATAAATTGGATTGTTGAGATGCTGTGACAAGGAAATTATTACACTCGGAAAAAAATAGCATGAAAAATATCTAAGGGATAACATGGGAAAGAGAATGAAACCGCTTTTTTTATCAGCAGGCAGTTGCGTAATGAAAACACTACGTATTCTATTGGACATTTGCAATTTTTTTAAAAAAAAACAGAGCAACAACAGGTTGCAGGTCAAGATTCTCGAGCCATAACACTTTTTTTTTTTTTTATTGTTGTTGTTGTTTTTTACTTTTTGAGTCTAGCTCAGAGAGGTTTTTTTTTTCCACATAAAGTTCAATGATATGATAAGAGAAACCTCGTACATTCAAGGAAGTTTAAGGCTAGATAATTCTAATGTAAAATATTTCTCAGGTGACTGAGCAACGTTGAATGAAAATTTTTTTTTTTAATCTTGTTCAGCAAGCACTCGAGGGAAACCTGAAATAAATTTATTGTGCAGAGAGCACTGGAGATCGTTTATTGATGCGCTTGTTTCTATTTCGTTGACTATTCATGATGTTTTTTTTTGGTGTCAGAATTAATACCCTTCGTTTCGAAACGACGGTGAACGCTTCGGTGAACTTTTTAATTTAGTAGGACCTAAACACCATGATACCAGAGTAGTTCCTGGTCATTGTCCAATTTTTTTGGTCATATTTCTCGATTGGATGAGGTTTTGAATGAAAAGACACAAGAGAAAAGCAAACAAAATAGAAACGGTTCCTCGAAAACGATTCTGTGATAATGGCCACGCGTTTTCCCCATTTTTTTCCACCAGAGTTAGTTACTAACTCTGATACCACTCGACTGGTACCCTTTACAACAAGTACACACGGTTTTCAAGTTGATCTTGAGTCTCGAGAGAGTTAAGATAGAGCCTGAGAGAATATATAAGATTCAGGCTGAGATGTCCAACATTGATTTATAGTATGAAAAAACGGTCATTGACTCGTCCCCAGTCGTCTCACTTCTCTCGTCTCTGCTTTGATATATTGTGAGTAATTGTAATTTTTATCAATAAAAAATATAGGCTGGCTACATGATTATTTAAAAAAAAGTTCTAGAATAATTTTTTTTCGGAATCTTTAAAAACCGTTTTATGGAAATGACTTTCTTTTTGTTTTTACAACTTTTTTTTCAATGAGATTGACTGTATATTATTATTATTATTAATGACTTTTAAAAGAGACTTTTTTTTAAAAAATTATGACTGCCAGTTTTTCAATATTGCCATATAAAGTTGCTCACATATCGAAATCCACGCTTAATTTACCCACAAATATTTTTCAAAGTGCATGATATGTTATGATTGATAATCATAAATGTTGTTGAATATTATTTATCGAGAAAAGAACGAAAATAACATTTCACATCATGACACGAAATAGACCCAGTCGGCCAACGCGTTGCTATGAACATTTCCACTCGATTCAAATCAGCCGGGAGTATTTTCATTGTATTTTCATTTGATGCATAACAGTTAATTTCTTAGGAAATTTTTTTTTTTTTCGCCGGGCACTAGATTTGAATTGGATGGTAGCGTACATGGAAACGCGTTCCTGGGTTCCGAATTCCATGAAAAAATTCGAGAACTCTGGATTACACCATTTTGGATTCCTTTTTTTAAGCATTTTGATTCTTTCGGATTCCTTTTTTTCTGTTGGCTTCCGTTTCCACTGTTTTTTTTTCCGGAGATTCCAAGTGTCTCGATTCTGGATTCCAGAGCCAAAATTTTGCCACTTTTTTTGTCATTGGTCAACATCTGAAATTAGCCACAATACACACGATATAATCATTATTGGAAGTCTGAAAAGCTTTGCAAATTTCTATGTTAAAACATCTGCATTGTCATGTTATTAATAATGAAAACAGATGTAAAACAGTTAGGACTACAAATGATTACTGCAAGCTTCCCCTCCTCAATTTTTTTAAGGTCGATTAGAGGTACCATCACCAATTTCCCCAGAATTTGAAAAACTTTCATTTTTTACTGTGTTAGAAGATCACATTAATGCGCAAGATTAAAATAACTGACAAGATCTGGTCAGAACGTGCCTCATTTGTTGATTTTAACTTGGTAGAAAAAATTTGTGCAAAATGTGGTACAAGAAATCGATTCTTTGTTTTGTTGTCATGGCTTTAAAGTTTGAGGGCACCAAAAGCCAGGTAAGCTGTGTCCAACACTTGAAATATATTCTTAACTTTTTTGTAAATAGATTTAGTGAAGAAGCGTGGACTTAAGGACGAGGTGGACGTGACATATGACTTTATTTTCTATTAATTGAAGATCACAGTTCTGTTACCCCGAGGAGGGAAAAGAAGTTTGCAAAGTATTATAAACAAAGTCAGTAGTGTGCGCTTTAGCGATATTATTCTCGAGGACAGGGTATATATATTATTTCTACATCTGCTCATTTCTTGGTTCGAGACCAAGAAATCATAATTACAGGTTTAACTATATATAGGATATTACATGGGCGCGCGGAGATACGGATTTTATCTCTCACGAGAGAGAGCGTAGCGACACGAGAAGATAAAATTCGTATCTCCAAGCGAACATGTAATATTCTATTTATCATATAATTGTATATGAAAGCAAATTATGTCGTAAAATAGCCTTTTTCGTTACTTCCACTATATATAGAAACCACGAATGTGTTATTTCACTAGTGAAAATATCAAGTTTACGAAATGGAGAAATATAGGTATTTCATAGATAATTATATGATAAATTGTTATTTCTATCCACACATTGAAAATTTGGCTTTTCGTCAGCGCACACTTATATGATATGGATATTATGCTGGCTTATTTTCTAGTCGCTTTATTTTGAATATATTTTTATTGGGTTATAATTATAACTCCCAACGTAACATGGGTTTTTAATTAAAAAGTTTTCTATCTTTCTCATGATTTCTCAAGTTTAGTCATCTCACACTTTTCTTAAATATTGAGGTACATTTTTTTGCAAAAAGTGTCATAGAAAAAAAAGGAATTTGTGGCGTAAGAAGAAGACAAAAGTTTTTTTGGGGCGAGTGCTTTATTTTGTCTTTTTAATGTATTCATTTTGTACTAAGCAAAATTTTTTTCAGAATTGTATCCAACTGCGTTTTTCACTATTAGATGCATATGTTTATTTTTGTTTTTYTTCAGACCTGTAAAGGTGGCTCTTTCATACCAGAAGGTAATTAAAAGCTTCAAAAGTGATTTTTCTTTGCCTTCAATTAACTTCGCCTCTTATTCGCAATAAATTTTTTTCTTTTTAATATTCATGATCTGTTCTGTCGTAATCATAGCTCTAATGACAAGATGTTTTTAATAGGAGCATGTAAAATGAGCGTGTTTGTTCGCTCTGAAGGAGAAATGGATCCCAATCGCTCAGTTTCTCTTGGATCCTCGTACCTTATTGTGGGTGGTAAAGAATACAGCAAGAAGTCAGCTGGCATTATTTTTTTTATATTCGAGCAGAAAACGGGTGAGAAGAATTCTTCGTCAAAGTTGCATTTTAGAATATTATTGGCGCGCTCTGATTGGTCCAAGAACGTGTTTAAATCATCTGTTAATGCACGATTTTTTTCAATTCAGTAGACCACAACATCGACTGATCTGGAGTGTTTTAGTATCCACCAAATTTTTTTACGAATTAAAACCGAGAATTCAGCCGTTCTTGACAATTGTCAACATTATATTTCTTTTTTTTCGAGGCATTTGTCAACAATAATCATCACTTTTCTCAGTATCAACTCTATAAAGTTTTTTTAATATTATTTTCTTTTCTCAGTCATAAAATATTCATATATTAATATATCTTTTTTTTTTTTAAATGTATTTATTGAAAATGTAAAAACTTGCCTGCAAATAAACAATTTTGTATTGTGTTGTTGGACTTGGGATCTATTAAAGCGTTTTGGACCAATAACACTAGTCTCTTCCCTAGGCTTCTCGCTTCCCGAGCAATAGAGTAGAAAGCCGGGGACGAGAATACAATCACACCCTTAATATCAATCCATTCACAACAGGTAAACACGTCAGTAGTGAAGTGTTTGACGTCAAATCCAGCTCAGCGAATGGCGACAAGCTCAGAGACTTCATCGCCGCGTTACCAAATGACGTCATAATAGTCATGGCAGTCCAGACGTCAGGTAATGCAAACAACAACCTTGCTGGTGCTAACTCTGTGTTTTTTTGCGTTGGACTCAACGACACAGCCATTGGTGATCAAGAATCGTTTGCAGCCATTTTGTGCAAGGGTTCTCGGGAGTTCTGCAGGGTGAAAAAGTCAAAAAATAGTGGTGGACAAGGCCCTAGCTATATTTCGATCCTGCTGCCACTCAAGATTCCATTTAACACATTGAATGGTTAGTAATATTTTTTTTAATGAATTACATATCATTATTACTATATCACAAATTTCTGATAAATAACCTCCTGATAAATATTGCGCAGTTCCTAATGAAATTTTATGGAAGAAATAAAGAAACACCATTTTTTTATTCTAATGAAACCTAATCAAACAAATGTTTAACAAAACTATCAAACAACCTAATTTTTTTCTAATCGTTAACTATAATTCCAAAATACCAAAAAGAATAATAAGTTTGCAATGATTTTTTTCTCAAGGGCCATGCGCAAAAGGTACGTCATATCAAAGGGTCTACAGCGATGCCATAGAAAATCATGCTATCGTTGGCCCTCTCTTGGTTTCCAAAACAGCCAATAACATTGAAGATTGCAAGGAAGCCTGTTTTTTCTACAAGGGTGATTCTTGCTTCATGTTCAACTATAACCAAGCTTCAAAGAAGTGTGAACTCTTCCATGAAGGGCGTGTGTCGGAGTACAAGGTGATTCAGATTTTTTTGTGCACCTTCAAGACCAGAAAGGTACATGCGGTAGGATGAGATTGGGACAAAACATGACGAATTTCTCTTGTTTTCTCTCCACAAACGGATCCCACAATGCATTGCAAATCACGTGATGTAAAAGCTTCAGAAGTCTATAATATCATTCAGAAGCATTTAAAAGTCATTTTTGTAATTTTTTTCGTATTTTGTCTATATTAGTGCAGCACAGATCCATGCAAGAATGGAGGACAATGTTTTTTTCTGGGTGACGTCAGTCATACTGCCTGCCTATGTAGATTAACTTATACAGGGCTAACTTGTGAAAGTATGCATCAAATTCATATTGTCATTAGTAAATCAAAACCTCAATTTATAATTTTTTTTTATACTTTACAGATTTCGCCGGATGAAAAACGACCTGAAGACACAGGAACGTCTTTTTTTCAACTTTTAACAACTGCAGTTACTAGCACAAGTTGCACGCTATTTATAAAACTTATTAATAATGCATGAGCTATTACTCCATATAAGGGCTGTCCATTTAATCAGGTGTTTGACCTTTTTTTTCTGATACAACACTAGTGTTGTATCAGATTTACAACACGGTCGTCACCATTGAGGCAACCCAACATTAGCAAAGGTTTCAATTTTAGTATCGCATCAAAGACCTTCACTAGGTTTTTTTTTTGTAGAAGACAGATAACAAAACTCGTTTACAGTGCAACAGAATGCTTGCTTTCCATTTTTTTTGCATAATTATTCAAAATGTTCTGTGTAGCAGTAAATTGCGCATGCTTAATAGCTTTTTTTCTCAGCAATTACCTTATTTGTCATTTTTCGTCATTTATCTCGCCGTAATTCATGTTTTTTTGTGTTGGAGTTTCATAAGTCCCGCTCTTGGGTGCAACCTAAGAAGAGAATGTACTTTTTTTACCGTGTATTCTGCTTTTTWAAAAAAAGGAGAAGTAGACCCGCGAAATCTAAAAGAAGGCGATTGTAAATGCAAACGTACATAAATAGGACACAATAAACGAACCTTAAGTTACACCCGGAAAATATATTAGAATGAATAAATACATTTTACTGGCATTTTGTTTGGTGTTCTATCAAAAAAGGACCAAGAACCTGTTGTGTGAAAGGTGGATAAGTTTGTCCTTGCATGACGTCACTTTTTTTATCTTGGGAACGTCCGATATGCACAGATAAAAGATGGCGAGACTCTGCTTTTAGAATTTGCGGGTAAAATTGCCACTTTGAATTCAGGGGGAGGGGCGTTGGGGGAAGTTTTGCATTTGGCGACTGAAATTAGGGACTGTTTTGACATTTTCCTAGCCGTTCTCCATCCAGCGAGATTTTTTTTTGAACCTACAAGGAATTCCTTGCCACGGCAAGCGGATCATGGTACTAGGCTAGTTTTTTTTTATACTGGTCTGCAAAACATGGACCTTCATTCGCCACCAATCGTCTTCCTTCCCTTGACGCGTTGCGAGAGAGACGGCTTACTTTGGACTGGGCCTGCTCCGTTTTCTCTCGAGCGAGCGACAACGAAAACTCCCGAACGAACCGAAGTCAAAACTGATAGAGGCGAGAAAACTTTTTTTTTTGTTCAATTCATTCATATATTCATTGTATGTATAACATTGTTAGCTAATGTATTTTTTTTTCGAGTTAACACTCAAGCTGAAATCCTCTCGGGATCCCACGGCTGTTTCGCTCCATACGAAGAGTGGACATTAGGTTCCAGGATCCCCGATCTCTGATTGCGCGCGGTTGTTGTCACGATAACGAGGCTTTCAAGCTACACGATGGATGTAGCGTGGTGGTGTAAATACAAGCCGAATTTTTTTTTTTTCTTACGTTTTGCTATCCTTTCGCTGGCAATTTAATTAATCAGATGCAAGTTTTTTTTCCTAAAAATACTCGGAAAGAAAGAAATAGGGGATTTTCTGATCAAAAGACGGAGACTTCTGATATTGTCGCTGTGGTGTTTTTGGAAGCAAAATGGCGTAACGAATGTTCGTGTTTTGGGCAGTTTTACAGCTCAGATAAATTGGAGTCTGGAACTTTTCCATAAAACAGGTGAGTTTTTTTTATTTTAAGTGTACTTAGTGCTAAAGGATTAATCAGGTGTCTATAATGTAACTATTTTTTTGTTGACTCTAAAACCAAATGAGTTCATGTGGANACAATTTCCGCTTTCTTCCTCCATGCCGTTTTTCTTTGTATAATTCACATGTCTCGCAGTTTTCGGTGCTATGTTCATTCCAGTTAACTGGCTGTACGCAGGTCTTATAATCATTCTTCTTTTCACCTTTTAAGCATTTTGCATAGCAATTATTACAAATTTGTTTTGGGTGTAGTTTTTCATCGTCTTCTAACGTGTCGATACCAAAAACCAAGTAAATAAGCTGAATGATTTTTTGGGATAATTTATGATATTGTTCTTGACGTTTTCCGCCCTTGAAGTTGCCACAAATTCGGCAAGCTTTGGTAACAAACTGATCGTGGAAATCCATTTACGTAGCGTGTTCTCTCACATGACTCCGCTAAAATGTCTACAAAATACCGAAAGTATTTTTAAAACGCAAAAAATTTTACATGTAAATAACTAGAGAAAATTAGTGAAGAAATGCCGTTTCCCCCGTATATCTTATGGCCTTGCTCTTGTCGTTTTCTGCCTTTGTTAATCCACACACTACACGCTGTGCCTGGCCCTTGACCCTCAATTATTGTAACATTTCTTTTTAGATGGAGGGCCAAAACCTCAAAATGGGGCGATCATTTTAATGCGTAAAAAAATAGTTATGCGTTTTAGATTTTCAAAATCTAAAAGTACAACTACAAAACTTTTAAAAATTGATTTAGCTTTGAAACGAAAAAGTTCCGGTAATGGCTTAAATTGAAGTCGGAAAACGCAGGATTTGCCGCGAAACGGATACTTCACGATCGGCAACTTACCTCGATGAACGAGATTTTCTCTTCAAAGGACGTCAAATAGCTGTATTTGGATTATTCACAGACTATGCAAAGGCATATCTCGCTATCAGACATATTATTTTTTAATCAAAGTGAAAGGATGATAAAAAAAATGGGCAAGTTTCACAAGTCAAAAATGTTTTGAAGTTGCCGCCATTTTGGTTGCTATGATAAGGATTTCCTTAGCAACGAACTTTGACCGCGCGCGTAGCCTGGAACCTAATGTCCGGTTCGAAACAACCGTGATCCCTGCGGGTAGCATTGGAGCGAGGCCAACTCTAATTTCCAAAAACAAGATGGCGGACAGATAAACGCAGTTAAAAAAGTTATCGTCGCTTTTCAGTAAAACAACATGAAAGATCTTCGAGAAAAACTCAACAAAAGTCAAGAAAAGCACAACTCAAGTCAGAATGTTAACAGAAAGAGAAGTAATTCAGGCTCATTTGTCGAGAAAAGCAAGCATTTGAGTATGGACCCGGATCTGGAGATCCACAAAGTCCAACAAGGCATAAAGCAACGAATACTATTTGACAGGGAAGATTGCGAAAGAATTGAAGCTAAGATCGATGAAGTCGTTCAACAAGCAAACGAAGGAGCTTTCAAGGACAAAACTGTCGATAGAGCTCCATTGAGAGTGAAATATTTCTTCGGTGAAGGTTATACCTACGGCAAGCAACTAGTTCAGCGAGGACCTGGCGGAGAAAAACTTTACCCTAGAGGTGAAGTCGACGAGATTCCACAGTGGATTCACGAAATGGTCATCTCAAGGCTCATTAAAGCTAGAATTGTTCCTAAAGGGTTCATAGACAGTGCAGTTATCAACGACTATCAGCCCGGTGGTTGTATCGTATCCCATATCGACCCTTTGCACATCTTTGATCGTCCTATCGTATCGTGTTCGTTCTTTAGCTCCTGTTCGCTTAGCTTTGGTTGTAAATTCGTCTTTAAACCAATTCGCACATCGCCGCCATTACTGTCTCTGCCATTGCCTCGGGGTTCTGTAACCACATTAAGGTAAGGTTAACAATCCACCACGTTGACATGCTTACTGTCATATTTTGCAAGATATTTCGAAATGCCTGCATTAGTACCTTATTCAAAGATAGTGTAGATTGAAACAGTCAGAGGTCACCTGCATTGCAGTGGTATATAAATAGAGTCATTGCTAAATACTTTGAAACACAAAACATTACTTTTGTGCAGAACAATTTTGACTTTTATGTTTCTTTGTAGTGGATATGCAGCTGATGAAATAACCCATTGTGTAAGACCTCAAGATGTTGTCTCAAGACGTGCTGTTATCATATTGAGAAGGTAGTTTTTGTTCATGTAGCATGTCCTTCGTCATATTATTATTTCGTTTCATTTTCTTGTTTCCCAACTAAATCGAAAGGATTCAAAGGGAAGTTCAAATTTTCATAAAGATAACAAAACTATCCAGCTTTACAGACATCTTTTGGCAATGCTTTTGCCATTGTGAAAATGAATTAGTTATTTTTTTCAAATAGTTGATGTATCAGACATTACTCTTTTTTGTTGGCATAAAAGAGCAAGCTGTCATAACTATTTTGACATTGCCTTGTAAGTTGAATGCAAAAACTAAACTTTGTTATTTTCTATACTTAAATCTCTTGAACAGAGTTTATCCCGATGCTCCTCGTCTTGAACCATTTATGATCAAGTCATATGGTCAAGAAAACTTTGTACAAGATGCAGAGAATCCAACCTCTCCTTCTGAAAGTCCACAGAATGTACATGCCTCTGAATCAATAGTGCAAGAAGACTCAGAGGGAAGCGATAAAGAAACTGAGCAAGTGAGTGATTCTGAAACACCCAAAAGAAGGCGCATTGTCTTACAACGAGGGTACAAGCTGGATGGGTCCTCACGGAAAGCCAAAGAATAAAAGCTTATCGACAGATTGAACAATTGAGTATTTCCCAGAGAAATTCAATAGAAGGTGCATTGTACATAGTGAAACTCTTTGATGTTGCTGTTTGACGATTGCATCTGGAATGCAATAATGTTAGAAATAAATCTAGTTTCATGTAATTTGCTGCTGGACAACTTTACTATTGATATTACTTTGTCTCTCCACTACAGTAAGGCGTGAACTTTATTTACAAATAATTTTAGTACAGTTTCCAATATCAGATGGCCTATCTGGTTACACTGTAAATCTGCGAAACACACAATGATGATACTATAATGATTTTTTTTTGATAGATGACCAATTTTAAATGAACTCTTAACATTTATGGCAGCTCCATTTGAAGAAATTATTGTGTTTTACTAATGATGTAGCTGTCGCAACATCACACATGTTGATATCAACAAAGATATTTTATCAAACGACACACAATTATTGAAAAGATTTGAAATAAAGTTTAATATCTAACTGTTTTTTAGAGAGACATTGATTTGGGTATAACAGCTATAATTTGTTCTTGTTATTAATGCTTTGATATGAAAGAGTCTTTGAGCACTATGCTGTAGAGTTAAATTTGAATTTGTGGGCTCATTCTAGGTACTACAGAATGTAGTATTTCAAACTTTCAAAAATGCGCATTTATTTATCCTTGGAGAGAGATTTGATGGCCTAGTGAATAAGGCATTGGACTTTGGGTCTGCAATGTGGGTTCAATAGCTAACTTGCGAATTTGGCCTCATTAGACATACACAAAGGAATCAAGACGAAGCGCCGTGCATAAAGCTCAGACATTCATGAAATGACAATAGTTTTTCAAGATTGACTGAGCTTTAAGCACAGCACCTTGTCTTGATTCTTTTGTGTTGACTACTGAGGTGAAATTTGCAAATTGGCTATTCACATCACATTCTCAGACAAAATATCTATTTCCTGTAACACTGTGAAAGGGTCTACATTTGTTTCAATTGAAATGCTTGCTGATTTGCATGGAGCTGCTTACATATTTTGTGTCAAGTATTAGTTGATAAGTATACCTATTATTACACTTACTATTCTGAGTTTTACTCAAAGAAAAATTCAATATATTGTTAGAAAGAGTTTATCTTAAGTTAGCCTTGCACACCAAGAAAATTTGTACTTTCGTTACAAGAAACGTCATATTGAAATAACATTATTGTTAATGATAGCTGTATGTTACTCTAGCTTTCATCCTCTCTGTGTGTACCAAAGTAGGGGTATGCAGCAATCACTGTACATATGGTTTTGAAAAAATACCAAACACTTCAAAAAAGACTTAAAATAGCAAATTTCTAATAATTCTCCATTTCATGACCTTTAGTCATTCCTTCATTCTTCATAAAGAACCTATTTTCTTTTATCCTTTTTCATTTGTTCCAAAATTTATCATACATGGCTATGAAATCATAGAGAATATATATGTATTATATTTTAGAGGAGCTTAATAGTGTTTAATTTATATGATCAGCTATAATTGTATATCTGAAGTAATTTGTAATAAATGCGTTTAGAGAGAGTAATAATTTTTTTTCTTCAATTTACTCATTTTTCCTCCGTTGATTGATGGTACTCACTACGATTTTTCGCTATTAATTTCAATCTGAAAATAGAAACACAATTTAAAGAAAAATGAATTTTTTCACAATTCAGACAAAATATATGACGTCATACCTTGGACCTCCTGTATTTTCTTCTCAAACGTGATTTCAGTTCTGCCATCAGTTTATTTCTTAGTGAAACTTCTTCGTCTTCGGACGAGCTCGAGGATTCCATTTTGTTGATGCAAGAAAACTGCTGAACCATAAAAAACGTGGAAATTATTATCATTGTTGCAATTGATGTCATGCAATCAACTACATTATCCAACAATGCAAACATGCAAACGTGTAAAACGTGCAATTAGCATACGTACAATCACCGTACATACCTCAGAGTTATCTCCCGTATCCTTATTATCCCATATTTCCGCGCCTTCACTTGGTCGCGCATCCCATCCAGTGGCCTCACCGACCTCTTTCAAATCATTTTCTACCGACTTATTAATGGGACTCTCTGTGCAATGGGTAGGACTACCTCCAATAGGTGAGAATGTTGTCGTCTCCGCAATATAACCGGCAGGAGACTGATCTAGCTTTTTGCTTGCTTCGTCTGGAAATGTTGCATCAAAAACCGTTTTTGGTCTGTCAGGTGTTGCACTATTTGTATCAGAAAAGTGAGAAGCATTAATGTTATTGCGCTGTGAATCTTTATCGTCATATTCTGGACTTTTGTTAGTATCTGTAATGTCCAGTGACGTGTCATTGTTTCGCTCGTTTGCTTTATAATGGTTTGAAGGTTGTTGTTCCATTGTTTGTGCGAAGCCAAATGATGCGTCTACAACAACGCAGACTCCACTTGATGTGATAGCCTGCAAATCAACTTCTGTCCTTTGTAAAAGCAAATTGTCAACCGCAAGTGGTACATCTTGTTCTTTGTTTGAGTCGCTCGAAGGTTTAGAAAGATGCTCACCAGAGAACTGCATCAGCTGGAAGAAAAAATGGATGAAAGTTACCAGTATAGCGAGTCACCCAAAATGCTAAGCAATTGCTTCAGAACATACCATTTCTACTTCCTGGCTTTGCTCCTTTGTGTTAGTATACGTAGATGCCCTCGTTTGCCTGGACATCAAGTTAGCTTTTTGAATAATAAACCATCGATATTTATAAAGAGCAGCGAAGATTATCAGTAAAACTATTGGAAGAGCAATTGAAGGTAATAAAATAGAAATCATCTTGCTGTCATCATTATCTCCTGAGAAAGCTAAACAGAACAAATAAATTAAAAATATTATATGACAAAAAATGGAAACGAGCCATTTCAGGAATTGAACGCGCGCGCGTCCCTGAACAATATATATTTTTTGGCGGGAAAAAGTAACTTCCGGTAAATAGTGGAGAATGGATTTGCACGACAGCGCGAATGAAAATGTCGTAATAAGAGTGTCTACATTTAGAAGATTTACTTTCAATAATTTGGATGATATATTTACCAGAACAGCTTGGTTGTCCAGGACACGTCGTTGTGATTTCATAGGCTTTCTTTCCACCAACTACAACATTATTTAACGATGGATAAACCAGAATTTGTTCACTCTTCGCTCCACTGCAGATCGCACCGAATGAATTGGCTTCTGTATCGATGAAAACTGCACAGTCAAGAAAACTGAATTGGTTTGGTTTATTGTAAGGAGAATATTGAACCGAAAATCCTTCTGGCTTGAAGTCTTTATCGACTAATAAAGCGTTTTTGAACCTATCTCTTGGAAGAACTTTGAAAGTGATGGCGCCCTTTCTCTGGATGTCAGGGACAAGATCCTGTATTGAGCTTTGTTTGGAGTCGATAGGATCTAAAAGTAAGTTTTAGAGTAGGCATTATTATGACTTTAAAAAAATCTTTGTGTTAAAATGTTTATTTCATAAGCAAACTAATGTAATTTCTTTAAAACGTACACTTAACTTGAAGTTTTTTTGGACACCACTCAACAATTCTGTTGGACAACGTTACGCCAACACGCAAGAGAGCATGCGCGGGAAACTCTGGTAGATAGCATGTTACAGTAGAATTGACGCAAATCCCTTTCTGGGTGATCTTTGTTCCATTTTGTGATTGAAATCTTACAAAGAAGGTCATCCAGTCTTCACAAGAGATGCCACTTATAGATATTCGTATTTGTTGTGATGGGAAAGCTGTTTTTGGTGAGATGTCAAAGACTTTAAAAGGTCCTGGGTTCATAAAAAAACACGCAGTTAAAAACATCGTAATCATCATCATTATCATTGTCATCACTAGCGATGTTGATGTATTATACTCAGACCATAACTTTATTATTTAATATCACGACTTTTTACTTTCTAACATTCACTACAAATTGTTATCTAATTATAATTTCTTGAACTCACCATGAAACCGTAAGGGTTTATTCGCTTTGTGCAACTTTTCATCAACTTCAAGATGCAAAGCCACTTTATCGGTAGACCTCATGGGTGGAGTATTACAAAACACCAAGTTACCTTTCAGGTTTGCAGCCGTGGAAATATCATTAAAGCGGCATTGTATGAACGAGCTTGCGTTTAACTGATCAGATGTAGCAATGGTTAATGTAGTTATTGATCGTAGTGGTACAACTTCTGGTTGGAAAGATCTGATGTTGATCGCTGAAATAGTAAAGAGTCATGTGTGCGATGTCACGTGATTATGATTTAATGACAGGCATTCTGTCACCACCACAACACTACAGCAGCAACAATCATGATCACTAATCATTGCCTCAGAATGGAAAACGAAAGAATGTTATAGAATGGGAACGAGCTAGCTCATAGTGATTCTTTCCCAACCCCGAAGGAAGATATCGTACATATGCAATATTATTTATTTTCCTAAAAGAGGCTCTTGAAATATGTCGGCCATTTCAAATGCTTCATCGCTCGTGCCGAGACAACTGGAGTTCTTTACATTGATATCAGTTCAGCACATGAGAGATTTGCCGTATAACATCGGTCATACATCATATCTTACCTGTTATAAACGACCAAGGAGAAGTAACAATTATTAAAGCTATGATTCTGTAGTGAACAACACTGAATGCAGCTATCATTGCGTTAATTTTAACTTCAAAGAACTACCATTGCTTCTTGTGGAACAGGATTGAAATATGCAACGATTAAGTCCTGAATTTTATCGATATTACACTTGCACAATTCCTTCCACGGGATCACTTCCTAGTATGTTACAAAGGTTAATCTTGTTAGCGATTAAATGCCAGGTTGCTGTCATCAGTAAAAGATTAAACATTCACTTATTTCCGTCTAAAAAACTTACCCAATCCAGTCCCATATACTTATGCTAGAAGGAAGGCTGGACAAATCGTTATTGTACAAATTTGGCTAAAAGCTCACTTGGTTTGCTTGCATACCAGAGAACATCATACAATCATACGGCTGGTTGTCGTATAGGCTTCAAGCTTGGATTATCATGCTGGATAATGGAACTCATTTACAGTCATAAACTGGAAACCGGTGTTTCAACGATGGTCATCTAAACAGAATTAAGTCTCAGAAATAATAATATACTTAAGCTGAGATATCCTCTGTGTTTTGTTTCCATAAGAGATGAAGGACCTTGTTTTATTCAGTGTAACTTTTGTACTGGTAAGTTAAAATGTGTCTCAACACATAGGCATACTTTCAAGGATAGCAATTGTTTATGATTAAAAGAAGCTTTTACCGCAGCAATAACTTATTGTTAACCTACTAGATTAATCACATGCATTCATCTACTGTAAGATAATTTTTTCAATTTTTACTGAGTGCAGGTATAAATTGGTCATGATAAATCATTTTGATACTGGGTAGTCGCACAAGTAACTCTTTAAAATTGCCAAGAAATTACTTTGTAATCATTATTACAATGAAAAATTAAATGCGAATAAAGGAATGGGTGAATAGATACACAAATACATAGGAAAAAATACGTTGTCAATGGACTAATGACGAAATGAGGAGAAATATTTGTAGTTATGATTTATTGGACGATTGTTTTGTTGTTTGATTCAATGATGAAATTGATTGGTTTATAATTGGAATACTGATTGACTGATAGGTTGATTGATTGGTAGAATAATTGATTGATGTAATTGATTCATTGATTGAATATTGATTAAATTAATAGTTAGACTTGATTATTAACTTCTCAAATATTGTATCTTTCAAGTTGGCCACAACCACAGTCTCCCAGGGTCGATGCAACCATTCAAGGCATTTTAGTTCAGTGAATGAACTCCAAGATACAATCATGAAAACTACCAATATAACACTGTTTGACGTGCAAGTGTCAGGAGGGGTTTGGTACAAGGCGAAAGCAATGGTAGCATCGCTGAACATTTCATTGCAGTTTCAATGGCCGTTTCCTGTTGATGGTTTGGTTAGCCTTGAGCCAAGCCGATTGTACACAGTACCTGATTTCAATGTCTTTAAAAGGGAACTCTTTTCTCAGATTGGCGTTTCTTCTCCTTTCCCTTTAACAGACGCTGTAGGGATTGGGAAGTACGGTTTCTCGCTGACAGCACTGGAATTTCAGTTTTGCGCAAAATCGCTAGAGAATATTCGTTTTGTATTCAATATTCCTGGATGGGATGTTTTAAGGCTATTTCATTTAAAAATACTTCATCCACAGCTGATAATAGGTATTTTCCAAATGCAGCAGAAAGTATTGATGGCAAAAGCTGTTGGAGAACTGGTTGGTATGGCGGATTATATTGCACTTAATGTTAAAACTCTACCCGTAAATTTTCATTTACCAGGTAGTACCACTGACCCATTGAAGATTGAAACACAAAATAATTCGACCACGATTCCGTATTCCCATTTTCACAACTTTTTAACAGTTTCTCAAAAAATAAAGATGCCTGCTTTCACGTCAAGAGTTTTCGAGCAAATTATGGTTAAGAATCTAGAGATCACTTTGCTTCCTGGGATGCAGCAAGTTTCTCGATTGATTTTAAATGCAACTTCACCAAGGGAGTGGAAAATTGGTAATTTTGCTTTGCATAATTTGACTTTAAGTGTATTCCAATCAGACATTTCTGTATCATGTTTTGCATCATTAAGTAAATTTGGAGATCTTCGTTTGTCACAAAATGAAATGCATTCAGGGGATATCCTTACACTTGTCAATCAAATGGAAACGAGACATTTCGAAGACATGATAGAAGAACTACTGAAACAAACTTTGTCAAATACAACCGTTTCTATACCAAATTTCAAATCTGTTAATTTATTTCATTCGCAAAGGAAGGTAAAACTAACGAACTTCACAATCCAGATACACGAAGCGCCAAAAATGCTTACCGACATTTTCATGTTTGTAAAACTCCCAAGAGATTGGGATGCCTTTGGAAAATCTTCACTTGTCACTCTAGGAAATACAAGCTTCTCATTGGCTATAACTTTGCTTGGTGGCCGCCCAATAGTAAAAGCAATCATAGATGGTTCGGTAAAAATTGGAAATCCAACATTTCTTGAACATCTTTTCCATATGGAAATACCTCATAAAGCAAAGTCCTTATCCGTTAATCTTCAGCCTGGGAAAATCTTTAAAGTTAGTTTTGACTCCATTTTGAAAATTGGAGGCTTTGTTGGTTTGCCGGATGTCCTCAAGGAACTACTTCATAAAACAAACGTGTCGATTAGTGGATTATCTCTTATGCTTCTATCCCAAAACAACACCAAACCGAGGATAAGCGCATTCAAGCTAGAATCGAACAAGGTTTGGAACTTGACTTTCATAAGATTGACAAGAAATTCTGTGGAATATGAAAATAATAAATATACAATTAAAGGCCAGCTGGAGTCTTTTGGAATGAAATCTCAAGCTTGCGCCAACTTATCACCTGAGAAACCAGTAATAGTTGCGCAAAGTTTATTAAGGTTAAAAGATCTGTCATCATTTTGCTCTCGTCTCTCAAGACAATTCATCGACAAGAACTTTGAATTAGATCTTGCAGGAGTTGGACTGGGGAATGTTGGAGAGTTTGTCATTAAGTTGATGAACTTTACACTTTCAGAAGACCTTCGCACAATCAAGACAGTTAATCTTAAGATAGGCTACTCTAAATATTCTTGGAATCTTTTCCAGAAATATTTTAGTGTCAAGAGTGTGACTAGTTCAGTTGTTATCGATGTTGGCAGAACTATTTCAATGATTATTGAAGGTGATATCAACCTTCTTGCAGGAAATTTGAAAATACCGTTTCTGATGAAAGTTCCGAACTTGTCCACACAAGATATTAGCATAAAAGGCTTCATTTCAGATGGGGTAGTGAATGTACAAAAGCTTCAGGATCTCGCCATACTCTTCCAAGCAATAACCAATGCAAATTTTCCCAATGTAGTTTGCAACGTTATTTCGGAAATTCAAATAGTACATTTTGAAGTTTCGTTCACAAAAAATGCGTCTGAAATGGGTAATGTGGCATTTTTGGGTAAGATTGCCAGCCCTTGGGACTTGGGCAATCGAGGATTACTCTACTTTAACGACCTTGCAATAAATGTAACACGATCTACATATGATGTGTATGGAACTGTAAGTATCGGGGGAGTTGATACCGCTATGGAATTCATTGAAGGAAATGGCTTTGATGGACCCAAGTTTCAACTGATTGCACAGTTAACAACGTCAAATCTTGCGACTTTTATAACAAACTTGTTTCAGCAGCTACTTCCCGATATTTTTGATGTACCTGATGGTAAGGTCATCGGGCTCGAGACTGCCGTGTTTCAAATTCAAAAAGCTGACATTCAGCTCTCCAGAGATCTTACCTCATTCACTACAGTTAACATTGAAGCACTGATAGAAGGCAAATGGGAATTTTTCTCTAATTATTTCGATCTAAAGCTGCCATACTTCAAATTAAAGGCAAATTACCTCTCTGAATTTCAGACTGACTATGAAGTTTCACTATCTGGGTTTATGGATCTTTTCCAGAAAAATGGGGAAGTTCTCAAGGTCCAACTGTTTTCGAGTATTCCAAGTTTTCCGTCAGACGTGGCTACGTTGAAATTATCAAGTCCTATCAATATCAATATGTCTGATATTATGTCAATACCCATCGTGGGTAAAACAATCACCGACGATTTGATCAGTCCCATATCTGATCTCATCGGACCTATAACAGTCAATGATTTTTCCTCTGATTTCAAACGCAATGGCAATGTCTCAAAGGTTCAGTCAATTTTTATATCTAGCACTGTAATGCACAACTGGAGCATCTCTTCTTTACCATTTCGATTCTACAATCTAACATTGAAGATGTGGTATTCACCATTGCAGAGAAAGGCGTTGTTATCAGGAATCACTGTGATAAAGAAGTACCCGGTACATTTCGAAATACCATTTCCTACAGACTTAGGAAAAGTGCACATTAAATTCAAGTTCAAAGGGATTACAGATTCTGACAGTTTAGATTTTACTCTGACAGATATTTCTGGACAGTTTATCCCAAAATTTGATTTTTCCACAATATTTCCGGACAACTTTTTTGGTATTGGTATGAAAGTAAGACAATTTCGCATTCAGTTGGAAACGCCCTTAACATCCCTCAATCCTATAGCTGGTTTTACCACCGAATTGTTTTTTGATTATCATATTGACTTAATGAAAGGATGGCTTAGTATTAGCGATGTTACAGTTAGACTGGATGTACGTTATGATCAAGGCATATCTGCACATGGTGAACTTGATTGCTTGGTTCAATTTGGTTCTATTGAAAATGGAATAGTGGTCCGGTCTACAATAACATTTCAATCACCGTTATCAAGTGAGTGGAGTTTAAGGATATCTCCAGATATGTTCACACCATTAACACTGGCGACGGCTGCATCGTTGTTTTTGGGTGGCCTTGATGTAAAATCCCTCTTTCCATCTAAAATGTTTGCAAAGGTAGCAGATGTGAAGCTTACAGATTTAGAAGTGGCATTTGTTTTAAAGCCCAAAGTTCGTCTAAACAGAGTGAGGTGCTTGTTCGAAACGAACCTACAGGATGTTTGGCTTCCACTTGAGATTTCAATAAAATCCGTTCAGATTGATATCGAAATTATATATCAAGAAAGTGAGCCAAAACCTCTGATCTCTTCCCAAGTTCAAGTTTGGATAGACATTG